TCTTGTTTTTGTGTTCGGAATGCCCCGCGCGCCGAAGGAGCGCTGGTGGTCATTTTTATGTGTTCACTCTGAGTGGCCTCATTCAATTGACTAATGCATAGGTGTCAAACTCAGGTCCTGGAGGGCCGCTGTCCTGCATGTTTTCCAAGTCTCCCTGTTGCAACACACCTGATTCAAATGAACAGGTTCAATGTCAGGCTTCCGCAGAGCTTGCTGATGATCTGATCATTTGAATCAGGTGTGTTGCAACAGGGAGACTTGGAAAACATGCAGGACAGCGGCCCTCCAGGACTTGAGTTTGACACCCCTGTACTAAACCATTAGTCAAACGCCATCATGTCTTCTGTCGTTATTACACAAACAAAAATCTCTTTACTGTTACTAGTGTTAGTGCCTCAATATGGCTACGCTCATGAAAGCAATACAACGAACTCAAACGCGTCTTCGTTCAATGTTGTCAACAAATATCCGGATTAATTTTATGCAACTTTTCCTCAATTCTCCGGAGAAATTTTCATAAAAATTTGAAAAACCCGGAATTCCGGGAAAATCCGGAGGACTTTCATCTCTGAAGTACATTATTAAGGTTGCATGTCGTACTAGAAGTAGTGCTGATTATGTGGGTTGCCAGTGGAGGAGGAGGAACCACCACTGATATGGGAGGAGGATCCAAGTGAGATCGGCTAACAGGAGGAGGAGCAAGTGAAGATGCCTTCGTCGCCCCTATGCAGAAAAAATAATATTCAGCAATAATCATGTGACTGGTACAGAGGTCAGAGGTCATAAGACGCACAGTGAAGGATCACATCTCTCGCGCGGAGAAGCTGCTGATGCTCCAACAGGTCCAGCAGCTCACCAACGCGTCCGTTCTTGTTGCCCCATTGGCTCATTACATCGTCTGTCCGCCTCTCCTTCCTCTCAGCTAACCGCACGCTGACTTGATCTCCAAGGACCGCTGAAGCTGAGACAGAAGTTCATTCCAAAATGGGTTAAAGTAGTGTCGTAGAAGGCCATTAGGAATAATTATGTACCGTATACTCTTTTGTCCTTCCTTTCCCTTAAAAGGTTAATAATGTAACAATCAGCTTGAGCAGCTTCCACTCTTCTGAGGAGACTTTCAACAAGATGTTGAATCAATTCTGTTCCAGTGCAACCCAAAGTCGCTCTTGCAGACCAACCCCATCAAAACATGCCTTGTACGGACATTTCATGTGAATTTCCGCAAAACATTCACACAAGCCCTTTCCTCATTAGTGTGGCTTCATTTGTATTTTGGTATAATTTATGGCTTTATCCGATAATAATTTTAGGGGTCGATCAGACAGCTTGAAAAAAATTTAAAAAACAACACTCGATCACCGATTTGATCAGAGGATGGAGATATCTATTGAAACGTACTTTTCATTTGACTCACATGTTTACAATGTCTCCTTCTCTGACAATGAAAACATGCATGACCGTCGTTTGTCATTCAGGTGGCCGAGGCTTTTGCGAAAACTATTGCTATCTTGGTTCAACAGCTGTGAACAAGTCCATACATTTACTTACCAGTTACACCAAGTTCCTGGCTACACATTCTACAGTACTTGTACTGCCTCTTCCGTTTTGGCTGGAATTGGAAGCTGGCTGTGTTGTACAATTCCTGTGCCCACAGACCAAATTGGTTATTTTGTCCGACATGGTTTGTTCACTTTTTACATGGTGTACATGTGCCGTAGTGAGCACATTCTCAAAGCCGTTTGGCTCCAATGTAGATGATGTAGCTTCTGCCTTTTCTTTGCAAACTGTATTTACTTCATTCATCCATCCATCCATCCATCCATTTTCTAATCTACTTATCCTCACAAGGGTCGTGGGTGTCCTGGAGCCTATCCCAGCTGTCTTCTGGGATCAACATTCACCTTGAAGTGCAGCATTTACTGCATACCAGGGGATGCCAAAGACAGTGCCCACGGGCACCAAGTAGCCCTCACTAACCACATGAGTGGCCCATGGGCCGGTTCCAAGAATAGAAATAGTCTTACAATAAATACCCAAACAAACAGTGATGGGATAGTGTGATGTCCCAGGAATGTTTTAGAAATCATTTGAAGACGTTAACACTTGCAGAAATGTATAGAAATTGTGTTGCATGTTGATGTTTATTGACCACTTAAAATCAACTCATTGCTAATAATAATTATTGTGAGAAATAATTACCTGATTAGTGCTTTAACATAAAACAATTATTAATTCATTATTATTTACCACATAATCTAAAGTAATTTTAAGCATTTTTCCCCTGAGGTGTGTGTCGAACTGGTAGCTCTTTGCATTCATCAGTACCCAAGGAGTAAAATAAAAAGGGGTGATCCCTGATTTAAACACTGTACTAATTAATAAAAAACGTTCATTCACTTAGTCATTAAAAGTCAACTAATCGATAAAATAAGGTCCTGCCACAGATGAGATTTGTAGTCGTGGTTCTGACCAAAAAGTGATTCAATACCAACTTTAAATGGATACATGAGAACAAATTACGAGTTTTCCATTAAGACGCACAAATGAAAACAGACATTTCTCCGTCCAGTTTCAACTCGGGTTCTCTCTCACCAAAGCGGGTCCAGTCCAGGTCTGACAGTCCATCCATGACCCGGCAGAACTCCCAGTTGACCGGTGCTGGTAGGCTGTGCAAGAAGTAGCTTCTAACGTCTCCTTGGGACATTTTCTGAAGGAAACCTCAAATCTGAATGAAAAGTTTACTGACTGACGCTAATATGCTAAAAAGTTAAGAGCCAAAAACAAGGTACCAGCGGAGCCACTTACATCCGGACCTGGATCGCCCGGACTCATTGGTGCTAAATGTGACTAGCCCGTCAGATTCGAGGATTATCAAAAGTTCTGGCTGGGTTGCTTCCGGACATGGTGTTTACCAGAGCGCCCCGACAAGAGCCGCTTCCGGTAGCTGGCCTGCCAAAATAAAATCTTATTTTTGAGCACGTCTACAGTTATTATTATTAGTAGTAGTAGTAGTAGTAGTAGTGGTAGTAGTAGTAGTAGTAGTAGTAGGAGTAGTAGTAGTAGTATTTTATCATTGTTTTACATTTGCGACACAATTCATGTTAATAAAAGATGTCAACTCCTGCCATCTTTGTCGTATTCAAGTTCATGATAATGATGATGATCCTGTTTCATTTCTAACAGCTTCAAACAAGGAATTGTTGTTATAGTTGTATTATTGTCGATGTCTTTTGTGTTCTGTTGTATTATTGTTATTTTAAGTTAAATGTTCTGTCAAGTGCTTTGTTACAGCTGCAGATGTGCCACGCCATACAAATAAAGCAGTAGTACAATAATAATAATAATAATAATAATAATAATAATAATAATAATAATAATAATTAGTATAACTATTATTTTCAACCTATGAATGTGAGTGTGGATGGTTGTCCGTCTATGTGTGCCCTGTGATTGGCTGGCAACCTGTTCAGGGTGTCCCCTCACCCGCCTACTGCCAAAAGACAGCTGAGATAGGCTACAGCACGCCCCGCGACCCTTGCGAGGATCAGAAAATCAGAAAAAGGATGGATGGATTATTTTCAGCCGCTGAACAGTTTCTTTTTCTTTTTTTCTTTTTTTTTAACTCAATTTGTAACATGCATAGCCTGTGTCGTTTGATACTCAGTACACCTACCGCCCTCTGGGAAACAACAGTGAAGCTTAGTTGATTGCATTATGATATTTGGCTGGGTGCGTACCGGGCGGTGGCGGCCGCTCATTTGCACATATACAGGTACTACAGTACAGTACCGTACAGCAGGGGTCCCCAACTACCGGTCCGCGGACCGGTGCCGGTCCGCCGGGCATTTGGTACCGGGCCGCACAGAAAGAATTTGCCTTAATTCCGTTTTATTTATTTCGGAATACGAAAAATGTTTTATTTTGAAAAACTACCGGATTCTCCGTTACATTTGTCTGTGTCACGCTTGACACACGTCAAGCCACGCTTCTCCGTCACGTGACCGATTACTTCAAAACAAAACGCAGGAGCTCGCAAAATGAGTAAAAAAACTGCTGGAGATCACAAATGACGGCGGCCTTAAAAGTACGTTCAAGACAACTGGATTAAAGTTATGTCTGAATATTCTGAGATCGCCACAGTAGCACTGTTGCTATTTCCGACCTGCTACCTGTGTGAGGCGGGGCTTTTCTGCAGCAACGGCGACAAAAACCAAATTACGAAGTAGACTTGACATAAACCACACACTTGAGGTGTCATTGTCTCCTATTACCCCGAGATGGGACCGTCTGGTTGCAGAAAATCAAGCTCGGTGCTGTGGTGAGTCGTCATTTTCATGCACTTTGAATTTGCGTTGTATCGTATTTTGAAGGCATTAAACATTGCCATAGCGAT